TCGATTTTGCTCAATATTTCGAATCCTTTTGTCGTGCGACAACTATACAATTTCACATATTTTGAAAATACATCTACCATTACCAGGATGTGTTTATTTCGTTGATTTGTTATGATTAAATCACTCAACATATCGATTGCTACGATGTCCAATTTGTTTCGGGATACGATGTTTTTGGCGACATTTTCATTTTTATAATTCTTACTTTTATATCTTTGACATTTACTGCACTTTTGGGTCATCTTCTTAGCTATACAATAATCTTGTCGACAAATATAATTTTCACGGAAAACTAACCATACTTTCCGGGCTCCAATATGTCCGTTATTTACATGTAAGTTTTCCATCAGTTTCTCGGCCAGTGTTGGTGTCACCAAATATAATTCTTTTCCTTCAATTCTTTTAAAGAAAATATCGTCTTCTCTTTCTGCTCTTCTTTTTTCCTTTTCCTCCAAACCTCGTTGATTCCTTCTTATTTCATTGATCGAGAAAATACCGTCTTCTTGTGCCAATCGGTTTAAACCTACCTGCAATTCAATCGTATCCTTTTTTCCTGTTCTTCATCTCGGTTAAAGCATCGGCTATGATGTTGTCCTTTTCTCGGATGTACTTGAATTCAAAATCGTACTCTTGTAGTAACAAAATTCCTCGATGTATCCTATTATTTACTAATCGATTCTTCATGATGTGGACTAAAGCGGCATGATCCGTCTCGATTGTAAATTTCGCTCCCAATAGGTAGTATCGTAGCTTCTCAACACAAAATAGTACACTCGCGAATTCGAGTTCAGTAACGCTATATTTTCTTTCATGTGTTTTCATTACTCGAGAAATAAAACATATCGGGACTTCCTGTTCATTCTGTATTTGTGATAAAACCCCAGCAAATTTTTGAATTGAAGCATCGGTTCTCAGAATAAATGGTTGGTGGTAAATAGGATGATACAACTTGATTTCTTTTGAGAACTCTTCTTTTAATCTTGCGAAAGGTTTTTCTTGTTCTTCCTTCCAATTCCATCTAATTCCTTTTTTTAGTAATTTAATTAGCGGTATTTGTTTCTCGCTTATGTCTGGGATTAGTTTTTTAAAGTAATTCACCATTCCGAGAAAACCTCTCAAAGTTTTCAAATTTTTCGGTCTCGGATAATCATTTATTAAATTTACTCGGTCTTCCGCTAGAGTAATTCCGCTCGTGTTCAGTTTAAACCCCAAATACACTACTTCCTTTTGGAAGAATTGGCATTTTTCTATGTTTAATTTCAAACCAGCCTGATCCAAATCTTCCAGCACCAATTTAATGTGTTTCAAATGACTGCGTATCCGGAGAAAAAATCAATAAATCGTCTATATAGTGGACAATAAAATCTTCATGACGGTTGAGAATGGTGTGCAAAGCTCTCACCAGTGCTGCGCATGCACTTTGCAATCCAAAAGGAACTACCTTGAAACGATATACTATCCCATCAATTGAAAAAGCTGTATAATTTCGGCATTTTTCTGCTAATGGAATCAACCAAAAACTATGTTTTAAATCAATTTTGGAAAAAATATGTGACCCAGTTATTCTTCCAAAAATAGTCTCAATATTTAATGGTGATTCATATTGGGATACTGTATGCTGGTTGATGTTTCTCGCATCTAAACATAGCCTTAAATCTCCACTGCTTTTCTTCACTATCACTATTGGATTGACATAGGGTGAATCACATCTCTCTATAATCTGATCTTCCAACATTTTCTCGATTTCTCTTCTCACGTCTTGTCGATATTTATACGGGATGGGGTATGTTTTTGGAACGAAAATTGTATCAAATTTTTCACCTCAAATATATGCTCGTAATTTCTGGCCACTCTATTTTCTTCGTTTATTAAATTTTCGTAGTTTTTTAACATTAAACGCATCTCCTTTTCTTGTCCTTCTCCGCAAATTAGCTCTCTTTTGTTCTCCGTATCTTGTTTACACATATTTACCGCGTATTCGGTGTCCTCGTTTGCATACACTTCTCTTCAAATACCGTTGTTTCTAACTTATCATCTTGCTTTTCGTTTATGCTCCCTGAATTCCATACATCCCATGTATGACTGTCTTCCTTTAACTGTCTTTCCTTTTCTTCCTTTCTCTTTTCTTTTCAACTTTTTATTTACCAGCGAGATTTCAGAACCCGAATCTATCAAAATTTTTATGGGTGTTTCATTTATAAACCCGTTTACATATTTTAAATTTGATCCATTTTCTTTGTCCTTATGTCCTGCGAGTTTTATAAATTCCTTTGGGTGACAAAAAATTCCGGTGTTTTTCTTTGTTTTTAGTGAGCGCCTTCGCGAAAATCCTCCTAATGCCTTTCTGTACTTCTTCTGTCCTCGCCTTGTCTCTCTTCCCCGTATTCTTCTATTTGTGTGTTATTTACCTCTCGTCTCACTCCTCCTGGCCTTTCGGCGTTGTATTTGTTGTCCCGATATTCTTGTTCATTTTTCCTCCTGTAATTGTTATTTTCTTTATAGTCTGTGTATGTATTTCTATTGTGGTTTTCTCTGTATCTGTCTCGGTTTCCTTGCTGGTTCCTGGATTCGTATCTCTCTCTCCTGTTGTCTCTATTTTCGTATTCTCTTCTAGGGATAAATTCTCTTTTAGGTCGGTCTTGACGATAATTTTGTCTCATATCTCTGTTTTCTTGCATTTCTTGTGGTTTTCTAGTTTTTCTGTCTCGTAAATGTGATTCTTTTATTTGTAAAAATTGACAGAGACTATCAATGTCTTTGTAATTTTGCAAAGTGATGTGGTCTTCTAATGTTTCCTCAAACTGTCTGGCAATCAATTCTACCAATTGTTCCGATGAATAATTGTACTCTAAATGTTTGGCGTTGTTGTAGATCTGTAAAGCATAGGTTTTTTCTGATACTCCCAACTTTTCATTATATTTTCCGTTCTGCAGTTCTTTGTTGATCTCCAATTGCTCTATTTTGCCCCAGAAATAGTTCAAAAATCTTTTCTCAAAGCTTTCCCAATTGGTAAATTCCTCTTCTTTACTGTCAAACCATAAACTCGCCTCATCTTTAAGATGGTTCCTTATCATTTCTTTAGCTGTTTCGAAGTTACCGATGTACAGCACTTTCTTTTTTAAATTCTTTATCAAAATTACTGGGTGTAATTTTTTTACGTCCCCGCCAAAACTTATTTTCACTTCATCTGTACTATGGATAAACATTTCCCTTCTTTCTCCAGAATTTTGTTGCGTCTTGATTTCCGCAATTTGTCTTTCGTTCTGCTTAACTTTTTCTTCTATTTCCCGCTTGTCTTCTTGTAACGCATTTTTAAATTGGATTTATAAGTTCTCTAGCTCCTTTTTATGATCGTTCTTTATCTCCTTCATTTTATTTTGAATTTTTGTTTCTTGTTCTTTCATTTGATCTTTAATTCTCATTTCTTGCTGTCCCATCTCGTTATTTATCATTGTCAAACATCCTTTTATTTCCTTTTCGTACTTTTCTATGCGTTCCTCCATTTTTTTGTTGTTCTTCTCTATGGCTTGTTTTGTTTCCTGTTGATTTTTAATTATTGTTTGATTTATTTGTTGTTGTGATTCCAAGGTTTCTTGTTGATTTCTATCCATTTTTTGTGATTGTATTTGCATCAGTTGTAATATTTTCTCTAATCCTGATAATTCCTGATTTTCTCTCTCCATAATTGTTGTTTCAAAAATGTCTTCTTGTTCTAAATGTTCTTCTTGTTCTTCCTGTTTTTTTGTTTTCTTTACTTTTGCTTCTCGTTGAAGCCATTTGTTTATCTCTTGAAATATTATCCCCGCCAAATGCCAAATTTAAATTTCCTTGATTTGTTGCAAATACGGTAAATCCTCCGTTCACCCAAATATAAATATTCGTCAAAATTTTTCAAAATGTTATCAAACGTCAATCAAAGAAAAATTAAATCAATTGTTGCAAATTGTAAATTTTGATAAAAATTTTAAATGTCTTAAAATTGTACCAAATTATTATTCACTTGACCAAAAAAAAAAACTATAACCACCTGTTGTTTTTATTTTTCAAATTGTATCTCTTTCCAAATGTAACTAGTAATACTTTTTTATCAGCCCTCACGTTATGGCGCCATTTTGTTGCGATTTGCTTATAATTGTAAACAAATCAAAAGCAAAGAATATCTCAGGGCTAAAAAATAATTTTTATTTATTTATTTTTTATTATAAACGTGGCTTCAAAGTATCTTCTGCTAGTTCTATTTAAAAAAGATCAACAAAAAAAAAATAATAGACAATCAATTCTGATATTAAAACAATTGTCCTGTATTTTAACATATATCCAATTAATTTAAATTTCCATTGAGGATAAATGTTACACCATACACTATAAATAGAATAACAAATAATCAATCATCCATCAAACCACACATCCCTTAATGCTCAATAAAATTAAATACACATATTTCTAAACTATTAATATAAAAATTTTAGAAATAATTATTGGTCCCTTGACTTCTTCCTGGATCCTACCAATTTCTCTGCTTTCTATTTCGCCTACTGTTTCTTTTGATAATAAAAGAAATAAGACCAACAGTATGTGAAAATGTCGTGATGTCGTTACCACAAGCTTCAAACTCCAATACAAACAAACTACTTCCTCTCAGACACAACGAAAATATATCTGTTTGTACTTACAGTAATGCCTCTATTTCTACTGGAAATCGTCTTTATTTACCACAATGGCTGCTTAATTTTTCACACAAACACTAACCACTACTTCTTATAAATTCTCAAAAACTTCCAGCAATTCCAATTTTTTTTAAAAAGCAAAAGTCACATTGACATTTTTTTTTTCTAAATTTAATTCCTAACCTAGGCCTATTTAAATTGAACTTAAGTGATACTAATCATATAAGCCCCTTTATCTCCCCTGATCTCGGTTCTTCAATCTCTTTATCCTTAGCTGTGACAACCTTGCCCCGTGCTTCTAAGTATCTTGTTACTTCGTCGTCCGCCCCTGCGTCAGATGTGGAGGAGAGCAGTTTTTCTTGTCTTTTCTTCTAATAACCTCCTAGATTCTCTTGTTTCTATTTTCCCTCTGAAATTCTCCCACGGACCTTTTACATTGATCTTAAGGTAGTAAAGGGTGCAGTAGGCCAATTCTGGGAATTTTGAGATTTCAAGATTTGGGTCTTGGCCTTCCATAAGCCACTGAAACGGGATCTCGTAGTGTAGATCTTTGCAACGTTCTTGCTTTCTTGAAAACGCAGTTTGTAGTCTGGTTATATCATCGCGGACAGTCTTAAGTGTATGGGCGTGTGAATCGGTGGAGTCTGCAAAAGAGTTCGCAAGCTTGACGGTGGTCATCCCTGTCCAAGACAGGACCATCTGACCGTAGGCACGAATGGAGTTGAAAAGTATGTTCTTCGAGTTGGGGGTGTCTTTTGAGATGAAGGGAAAAAGAATTGCTGCACGGAGGCTAAGCCGCTTTTTCCAGAATAGGGACACTGTGTTTAAGTCAAAAGCATACTGTTGTATGTCAATGTCGGATGCTGCCCCTAATTTTATCATAAGAGGCTCGTACCTTGTTTTGAGCCAGGCTGAGTAATGGCTTATTTCGGTTGCGTTGTAATCTCTAACCCCACTTTTAGAGGCAGCAAGGACGGCATAGATTCCTAATATGACAATCTTGGATGCCTTCTTAGAATCCCAAACGTCTGGAGAGGTTTCATTTTGGATAGTCTCTCCATCTACAGTTAAGAAGCCTATTGTACCTGCTTTCTTTTCTTGGATTAACTTTAACATAACGCTCAGAGGCTTTGATTTAAGTGCCTCATTGGGGAGTAGTGAAAGAATGCAGTTTAGATAAAAGGATATTGTGTCTTCCTCGTCAATCTGTTCTGGGATCTTCCTTGAGTCTTTGATAAATGGAGTATCGGCAAACATGTTATGACTTACAACTAATGCGTTCATAGTAGAAGCGGCTATGTTATACTTTCTGTCATCTGTTAGATTTATGAGGTTTTCCGTCGACACATGCTCAGGGGTTGGGAGGTTATTTAGTTCTAGGAATGTCAAATTCTCTTCTGTGATCGGAGATATATCGAGGCTTTCAAATATTGCATATGCTATGTTGAGTAATTTTTCCAGATCACTTTTTCTTACATCACATACTGATGTTGATCTAACATAGACTTCGATTGGGTGTACGTCGAATTTGTTGGATATAGACGACCCTAAGTACACATTAGCTATTGCATTGTGTTCTGGTATAGTATTCTGCACATTGATTATAGTCAAGAAGGCGGATAGCGTATACTGATTGGACATTGTTGAAGAATATAGAAAAATTACTAATAAGTTCTTGTTTCATACATCCTTGTCCTTATCCAATTTTTCTTCTAATTCTATCACTTCATTCTCGATTTTCATGGTTTTATTATTAAAATCCAACACTATATGCTTTTCCGATAATTCGTCTACTCCTACTATCATATCATGCGACATATTTGGCATTATGACACATTGTAGTGAAAAAAATTTCTTTCCCAATCGTATCCTAATTCGTATCCCTTCATTTATCGTTGCTAACGTTCGTTTATTCGCGCCCACTAAAGTTACCCTAGGTATTTTATAAATTAAATTTGTCAAATTAACTTCTTCTATTCAGTATTGGTGTATCTTCCGAACTAGAAGGTTGGCTCGTGAAGCGCGCTTAATTACATTTTGCTCGAATTTAGGCAGGTTTGTTTTGGTTTGTTATTTCATAAACTCATAGATAAGGTAAGTACAAGTTTATAATTTTATAATGAATAACTCTTCCGACGGGGTGCTCCCCCGTCTGGAAAAGACCCACCAGATGGAAACGGTAGGCAAAACGAAATGGAAATTGATAATAAGATATATAATTTAGACAACAAATATGCTTCGACTGACACTGGACCGTACTATATTGTTGTAGAACCAGTCGATAAAAATTGTCGATTATCAGCGGTTAAAGTTGGTCATTATCTATTTAAACATTCTACTTTTAATAAAGATGTTATTGATATAAAATTGATTGGAAGAAATAAGGTAAAAATTATTTTTAAGACTTATAATATTGCAAATGCTATTATAGAACATAAATTAATAAAAGATAATAATTTGATCGCTTATATACCTATATTTTTTAACCATAAAAAGGCAATTATTAGAGAGGTTGACACTTTTTTGGCTGAAAAGTATATTTTGGAGAATATTGAAAGTGAGCAAAAAGTTGTAGAAGTAAAAAGAATGAAACGTAGGATTATTGATTCCGATAATGAGACACAGTTTGTCCCAAGACAGATGATAGTGTTAACATTTTTAGGAAATAATTTGCCAAAATTTGTTAAAATTGATTTGGTAAGATTTGCTGTTGAGCCATACATATATCCTGTCGTACAGTGTTATAAGTGCCTTCGATATGGTCATACAGCAAAATACTGCAAAAGCACTGTGACTAAATGTAAAAAATGTGGCGAAAACCACGATGAAAATGACGATATCAATTGCACTGCTAATGCTTATTGCATATACTGTGAAACGCATGACCATCAGTCTGTATCAAAAAATTGCCCGAAATACCAGGAACAATTCAAAATTAAAAAAATCATGTCTGAAAAAAATGTATCATTTAAGGAAGCTGAAGGTATTGTAAGAAATCCGTCTTATGCTAAAATAGTAACACATAATAATTTCGATGTTTTAAATAACCTAAATAATTTCCCTGAGCTGAACGGTAATATTGATACGAATATTTCCCCTTCCACGAGTAATAAAAATTGGGTACCACGTCCTCATTTCCAACAGCCGAAAAAGCGCAAAGTAAGTTCGCCACTGTCAGTCAATAAACCTCCTTCATTTAAACTTAAAAATAGCGTTTCAGATCCTGTTATTCCTAATCCACACAGGGAAGCCTTCCAGTCATACAAAGAAAAATTAGAATTACAGATACTGCAGAAACTTCCTTGTATTTTTGAAAATATGTTTAAAAAATTTAATTTAGTAAACCCAGATCCACTAGTTATTCAGGAAACACAAACAGAACTCAAAAAAATATTAGGTACAATACAATATAGTGATAGTGATAGTGATGAAAATTATTATTAAGTAGATGATAAATATATTGCAATGGAATTGTAATTCCATTACTAAAAATAAAGCTAATCTTGTTAATTTTCTTAACCATTACTCTATTAAATTTGATTTAATTATACTTAATGAAACTTGGTTATCTAAAAAGAAAATATTTCATTTACCAACTTACAATATACTACATGTAGACAGAACTGATGGATTTGGAGGCACTGCTATACTTATCAAAGACTCCCTAACCTATCATGAAATCTCAATCCGTAAAAACTTTAATTCCAAAATTGAAGTATGCACAGCATATATCGATGAATTTAAGATATCCTTAGCTTCCATTTATAAATCTCCCAAAATAAAAGCAACTAAGACTGATTGGAGTAATCTTTTTTCACAATTACAGGGTGATGTCATTATATGCGGTGACTTTAACTGTCATCACAGCCTTTGGGGTTCTACAATAGATAACTCACAAGGAAATCGACTTGTAGAGGCTATTGACGAAACTAACCTGATTATTTTAAACGACGGACGACCTACTAAGATAGTCAGACCCAACGAACGACCTTCTGCCATAGATCTTACTTTTATCTCACCTAGTCTTTTAAGTTACTCAGAGTGGAATCCTCTAAATGATACACTTGGTTCCGACCATCTCCCTATCCATATTAATATATCTCGGGAATATATCCCCACTAACAAAACACCTTCTAGAAAATGGATTGAATCTTCAGCTGACTGGACGCTTTTTCAAAACCTAATTGAAACACAAATTTATAATAATAACAGTGATAATAATTCCTTTGAATTTTTTATGAAAGTAATAAATGATGCAGCTTCTAAGTCAATGAAATCTCGTTCAGGTAAAAGTAAAAAACCTCCAAATCCTATTTGGTGGGATAATGAATGCACCTTAATTGAAGACATAAGTGGATAAAGGTCATATGTCACAAAATGATATTTTTGAGTAATGACCATTTTAGTGTCTTTTGTTCCAAGTTAATTATTTATTTTATAAATTTGCATTGCTGCACTTTTTTAAACAGGTATCTGAAGGTACTTTTTTTAGACTTTAAATTGAATTTAAAAAAAGTTACCTTAAGCCAAATATTTCAGATTTTGTGGACATATTGCCTTAATCCACATACTAAAAATAATTAAAAAATGTTAGGGTTCAGTGGATAAAAGAGTTAAGTATAAAAAATGGTCATTTATTTTCAAAAAACACTTACAATACAAAATGAAAAATTAACAAAAATAAATTTTTTAGTAGGTTTTTCTTTTCTTTTTAGGATTTTCTTTATTTTCCTCTATCGCGTTTTCATAAAACCATCTGTACTCTTCGGGAACAAATTTTATTTGGTCTCTTAAATTTTCCAGTTTTTCCAAACTCAAACCACCAGTTTTATTTTCCAGTCTTCTTGGTCTATATTCACTTCTGGTCAGATGTGCTGTCCTTTTTTTTCTTAAATCTACTTGCTGAAATGGCATGTAGTCATTAAGACATGTCTTATAGAGATAGAATCCAAATTCGTCCACTCTTATCCATTTTACATTATCACGAAAATTAATCTTTTCATTTGAACTGTTTGTTGTCTTTTTACATAAATAGAGCTTCGTTAGCAGATCTTCAAAGTCGTAGAAAAAATTCTCCATATTTACACAAATGCTACCTTTTGTGCTTGCCGACGTGATAATGTTACGATATTGATCTGGAATAAAAATTGACTGATGTTTTCTCAGAACTTTTTCTATCCTTCCAAAGTCCCTGTCAGAATCTAAATAACTGTGGCCCACTTCAGGAAATTTGTGCTCTATTATTTTAAAATATCCATTTAAAATGAGATATTGATATAGACCTACAATTATAAAGTTTTTGTTCTGACCAGAACATGAATCTGACCATATGATCAAATGATTAATATGGGGATTTTCTTCTTTTAAAAGCTTACAAAATCGAAACAGACAACTCGCTATTTCAGTACTACCTCGATTAGCTACATCTTCGGTCCACGTAAAAAAGTAAGATTTTGATCCTGATGAAGTTATGCAATGTATACCAAAATTATACAGCCACATTTGACGTAAATAGAATGCTCTTGATGTTGAAAGCTTAGGTAACGGCATGGTTTGTTGTAGATCCATTGTGATGTAGCACATATTATTGTCACTTATTGGCTTTTGCCTATCTACTTTTTGAGATTCAAATGCAATGCTACAGTTTTCTTTATGCTCTATAGTATTTTCTCCAGAATCACATGTGCTACATGTGTCACTTTTTGGATATCCAAATGATAGATTGAATTTAGTATCGAACACATGGCGATACATGGAAAGTTTAACTAAGTATTTTTCACCAATTTGTTGTTCATCGCATCTTTTTAGGTATAGTTCATGCATTTTTGTTACATTTAATAATGGTGACAAATACTTTCTATTCTGATTTTTGTTTCGAGAATAGTGAGAGCTCTCAGCTGGAAACATTTGAACATGTTCAGTAATGTATTCTACTACCGCTTCACCGATCTTGTGAGGTCTATTTGTATGTTGCCCTTGTTTACTTGGACTTGGAGCTGATTGACCTTGTTTAAGTTGTTTTTGAAGATTTAATATTTTCTTTGAGCCAACTTGGTACAGCGAACAAATTGCATCCTTACAGACAGATATTTTTTCTCTGTCGTAAGTTACTGAGTATTTAAAAGAACATTCTCTTAACTTCTGCTTTTTACCTCCAGAACGAATTCGGTGTCTTGAAACTTGATTTATGTCAATGCTTTTAAACAAAAGACAGGTTTTTGCGTTATTTTCTAAATTATAAAACCTTTTCAATATAGATTTTCTAGCTTCTAAGCTGAATTTGGTTCCACACTTTAATCTGCATGTTGCTTTACATAACACTAAATCTTCCTCAATTTCTTTTGCTGGTATAATTTTTCCATTTTGAGAAACATATTCCAACCCTTTTTCTTTTTGTATTGCTGCCTTTTTTTTCTTCCATTCAACAGGGTTGCGTTCTCTTTTACGAGCTTTCTTCTCTTTAAGCTCAAAAATTTTTTTCGCCGTCCTGTGAGGTTTGGAAACATCAGCTCCTTGTCCTTCTGCGGTAACATGTACCGCACTTTGACTGTCTTCAATATTGGGTTTTATTTGAAATTTCTTTGTCTTATTTTCAGCATTCACTTCTGCTTGGTTGTCTATATTCTTCATGTTTTGTTCCTTTTTTTCATTTAACAAATTTTTGTTAGGAAGTTTTTCAGAAAAGATGTTTCGTTTAGCATCATGTATTTTTTTGGAAAACATTTTGTTTGTGGTTTCTTCATAGTAGTCTGATTCATCCGAATAGCCCGTACCTGAAGGAACGAATTCATCACTGGACGACACATATCCGTCTGCTTCGCTTCCTGACTCATTGCTTTCTAAAAATATAAAACTATATGTAGTAAAATTAAAATAAATTTACTACTAAGAAATTATAAACCTTTCCAGCCAGGCTTACGTATGGTATCCATGTGTTTTTTCATTTTATACCAAATATCTCAAAAGCACAAAACCAAATTTTTTCATATTAAAAACGTTGGAGAACAATTTTATTAAAATTTAGACAATGCATAGTGTCTATCTGTCTATGAGATATTGAAACACTCCAAATAACCGATATTACAAAATAATTATTAATACAGATTAGAAAATACTAGATAACTTTAATATTATCTTAAATTATTATTATATTAACTTGTCAACGAGGCTGGAAATGTCAAATAAATATTCCCTTACCGACAAAATTTCCGGAAGTCGATGGTATCTGCATGTCTGCACAATACTGTTTATTGGATAAATCGTTGAGTTTACGGGTATTTAAATCTGACGAACTAGGAGGAAATACACCTAAAACCAACAATATTGTAAGTATGTGATAAAAACTACAGTAAAAAGCATTAATTGGTACTTTGCATAAAACAACAAGTATTAAAAAATATATGTATATGAACCTTTATATAATAATGTAATATTACCTTTTTTAACAGTATTCTTTTCTTTCTGTTGAAGATATAGTCTGTAAATTCTTTTTCCTCTACTCTCCATAATTTTTTCGTAACTTTTTGACTTAAAAACTGTAAAAATGTTTGCACAAAGTAAATTACACAATTACATTGATTTTCATAACATAACCTATAAAGTCAAATGTCAGAAAACCAACTGCTGAGCGACTAAAAATTTGAGTGGATAAAGGTAATATGTCCGCGATTTTAGACATAATACCTTTATCCACTAGAATTCGAAAATTTAGTGGGACATATTGCTTTAATACCTTCCTATTTTTTTTAATTAGCTAAAAATAAGTAATTTTAAAATTTTAAAAGGTTAAACAGCATATTAGCAGCACAAAAAACCAATAAAACAATTTTTTCAAAAAAGTGACATATGACCTTTATCCACTCATGTCTTCAATTGTTAATAATATGGAAAGATGCATATCTGGATTATAAAAATAACACGAATTATGAAAATTATCTCAAATTTAAGCATATTCAGGCCAAAGCTAAACTACATTTTAAACAAAAACAACAATTATGCTGGAAAAATTTTATTAATAAATTAAATAAAAATACGCCAATATCAAAAATTTGGAGTTTTATAAAAAAAATATCTAACAAAAACTCAACTTTTAAAAAACATACTATATCTGAAGAACTAATAAACCAAGTTTTTGATATTGTAGCACCTAGTTTTGTGCCAAATATGCTTGAAAGACCGAAAGAGAACATTGGCAGCCACTATATGGATGCACCTTTTGATACAACTGAATTTGAAGCTGCAATTAAGACCTCTAGATGTACTGCTCCAGGTAATGATTTTGTTACATATGACATTATTAAAAATCTTCCCCAAGTTGCTAAAGAATTTATAATAAATATATACAATGATTGGTGGGTAAATGCAAACTATGTTGAACAACTTAAACAAATTACCATTTGTTTAATTTTAAAACCAACTAAAGATAAAAATATACCCTCTTCTTATCGCCCTATATCTTTAATGTCATGTATAACTAAAACATTTGAAAGAATGATAAAAACAAGACTGGAGTGGTACATAGAGTATAACAATATCTTGCCTAATACTCAATACGGTTTTAGAAGGGGATATGGTACTTTGGATGCAGTAACTCATTTAGTAAATGACATCCAAATTACTTTTTCTGGTAACAAATATTTAGCTTGTTTATTCCTAGATATAAAAGGGGCTTACGACTCTGTAAATATTAATATACTTAAACAAAAAATGATTAGGATTGGTCTTAGTGAAACGACTGCTCTAAATATATTGCATCTATATTTTTCTAGACATGTCTATATTAGAGATCATAGAAATGTGTTACATGGTCCAAGGATTGTTTATCATGGCTTGCCACAGGGATCAGTACTTAGCCCTATACTATTTAATATATATTCTGCCAATATTCATTCATTATTTCATAACTCCGTAAATTGCATACAATATGCAGATGACATCTGTATATACACCATCCAAAACAGTTATGAAGCATGCACGGAAGCTCTCGAGAATATTATGCATAAGGTAAGTATATGGACAGAAGAAACAGGCATGACTCTTTCAACAGACAAATGCTCTATCATGTTTTTTACCAGGCATAGACTACGTGCTCCAGAGGAATTGACTCTGTGTGGACGTACCCTGTCGGTAGTTAAAGAGTATAAGTATTTAGGTATTATTGTTGACACCAAATTACTATGGTCGAGCCACATAAATCACTTAATAAACAAATGTGAAAAAGGCTACAATTTACTTAGGTGTGTAACAAATCGAAGTTGGGGTGCAGCTCCTGGTATAGCTTTATTGTTTTATAGAGCCTACGTGCGTTCTATCATTGACTATGGATGTTGTTTATACGGATCCTCTTGTAATACCAATCTAAACAAAATAAACAGAGTTCAATATAAATGTCTTAGAACTTGCATCGGTGGGATGGTATCATCACCGGTGAAAGCAATACTGGCAGAGTGTAATGAGTTACCTTTGGACTTGCGTAGGCAAATGTTATCACAAAAATATCTCTTAAAACTAAAATCCCTTGAGTCAAACATGATCAACAAATTAAGTTATATTGCAAAAGAAGACCTAACAAATCGATATTGGAAACTTAAAAATTCTCCCCCACTTGCAGAAGCTTTTGTTGAGACTAATGGTGATCACATTTCTTATAGTAAAAATAAAAAATTACTTATGTATACTATACCCTTTAGATCACTAATAAAACCACACAGAGTTATAATACCCAATTATACAGAATATAATCATATAAACCATACCCTTTTAAAATCTATATTGGATGGATTAATCAATAACATATTTATATATACAGATGGATCCAAAACAAAACACGGAGTTGGTTGTGGAGTATTTATTCAAAATACAAAACAATCATTTATGTATAAATTACCATCAATATGTAGCATATATACTGCTGAACTTATAGCAATTTTGAAGGGCATTACGTGGTTAATATCAAATAATTTACGAGAGGGGGTAATACTAACTGATTCTAAGTCAGCCTTGGAGTCAATAAAAAGTATAAAATTTGAAAGAATGAAATGTCCTATATTATGCAATTTAAAAAAATTGATAGCAGATTTAAATATAACATTTGTATGGGTCAAAGGACATATAGGTATACTAGGTAATGAAAAAGCTGATAGTTTGGCCAAGGAGGCGATACAAAACGGAGTTCATTGTAATATTTGTACAATACCAGACGCCTCTAATTTGATAAAAAATAAAATAATGTCCAAATGGGAAAGACAGTGGGAAAACGTTGTAGAAAACTCACAAAATACATATTTTAAAATACATCCAACCTTACCTTCTCCACCCCAATATATTTTCAACTATTCCATTTCAAAATTCTTTTCAGCAACTGTTTTTTCGACTTAAAAACAAATCATGGGCGATTTCCATCGCACCTTGCTAAGCTAGGCATTATACAGTCATCGGCCTGTAGTTGTGATCAGAACTCTTACGGAGACCTAAACCATATATTTTTCGGTTGCAAAAAACATTTAAAAAAATCCGATGATTTGATTCGTAAGCTCATTGAAATGAAATATTTTCTTCCATTAAATCTAACACACATTTTATTAAATGCCAATAGAAACACCTTAGAACTTCTAGTAAATTTTATTAAAGAAGTAAAAATAGAAATTTAAAACAGCATAAACCACAACTCTGAATTATTTACATTATAAGGAAAGTTCTGCGTACAACATTCTGTGGCAAATGGACTTGATTCCGTGCCATTATCTTTCCACACACACACACAACTTCTTCTATCAACTTTCTATTTACTAGCGAGATTTCAGAACCCGAATCTGTCAAAATTTTTATGGGTGTTTCATTTATAAACCCGTTTACATATTTTAAATTTGATCCATTTTCTTTGTCCTTGTGTCCTGCGAGTTTTATAAATTCCTTTGGGTGACAAAAAATTCCGGTGTTTTTTCTTTGTTTTTAGTGAGCGCCTTCGCGAAAATCCTCCTGTTGCCTTTCTGTACTTCTTCTGTCCTCGCATTGTCTCTCTCCCCATCAACTTTCTATTTACCAGCGAGATTTCAGAACCCGAATCTATCAAAATTTTTATGGGTGTTTCATTTATAAACCCGTTTACATATTTTAAATTTGATCCATTTTCTTTGTCCTTATGTCCTGCGAGTTTTATAAATTCCTTTGGGTGACAAAAAATTCCGGTATTTTTCTTTGTTTTTATTGAGCGCCTTCGCGAAAATCCTCCTGTTGCCTTTCTGTACTTCTTCTGTCCTCGCCTTGTCTCTCTTCCCCGTATTCTTCTATTTGTGTGTTATTTACCCCTCGTCTCACTCCTCCTGGCCTTTCGGCGTTGTATTTGTTGTCCCGATATTCTTGTTCATTTTTCCTCCCGTAATTGTTATTTTCTTTATAGTCTGTGTATGTATTTCTATTGTGTTTTCTCTGTATCTGTCTCGGTTTCCTTGCTGGTTCCTGGATTCGTATCTCTCTCTCCTGTTGTCTCTATTTTCGTATTCTCTTCTAGGGAGAAATTCTCTTTTAGGTCGGTCTTGACGATAATTTTGTCTCATATCTCTGTTTTCTTGCATTTCTTGTAGTTTCTAGTTTTTCTGTCTCGTAAATGTGATTCTCTTATTTGTAAAAAATTGACAGAGACTATCAATGTTTTTGTAATTTTGCAAAGTGATGTGGTCTTCTAATGTTTCCTCAAACTGTCTGGCAATCAATTCTACCAATTGTTCCGATGAATAATTGTACTCTAAATGTTTGGCGTTGTTGTAGATCTGTAAAGCATAGGTTTTTTCTGATACGCCCAACTTTTCATTATATTTTCCGTTCTGCAGGTCTTTGTTGATCTCCAATTGCTGTATTTTGCCCAGAAATAGTTCAAAAATCTTTTCTCAAAGCTTTCTAAATTGGTAAATTCCTCTTCTTTACTGTCAAACCATAAATTCGCCTCATCTTTAAGATGGTTCCTTATCATTTCTTTAGCTGTTTCGAAGTTACCGATGTACAGCACTTTCTTTTTTAAATTCTTTATGAAAGTTACTGGGTGTAATTTTTTTACGTCCCCGTCAAAACTTATTTTCACTTCATCTGTACTATGGAATAAACATTTCCCTTCTTTCTCCAGAATTTTGTTGCGTCTTGATTTCCGCAATTTGTCTTTCGTTCTGCTTAACTTTTTCTTCTATTTCCCGCTTGTCTTCTTGTAACGCATTTTTAAATTTGATTTCCAAGTTCTCTAGCTCCTTTTTATGATCGTTCTTTATCTCCTTCATTTTATTTGAATTTTTGTTTCTTTGTTCTTTCATTTGATCTTTAATTCTCATTTCTTGCTGTCCCATCTCGTTCTTTATCATTGTCAAACATCCTTTTATTTCCTTTTCGTACTTTTCTATGCGTTCCTCCATTTTTTTGTTGTTCTCCTCTATGGCTTGTTTTGTTTCCTGTTGATTTTTAATTATTGTTTGATTTATTTCTTGTTGTGATTCCAAGGTTTCTTGTTGATTTCTATCCAT